CCAGGTGACACCGCGCCCACCTCGACCTGCCAGGTGACACCGCGCCCATCTTGACATGCCAGGTGACACCACGCCCACCTCGACATGCAAGGTGACACCGCGCCCACCTCGACCTGCCAGGTGATACTGTGCCCACCTCGACCTGCCAGGTGACACCGTGCCCACCTCGACATGCAAGGATGGCCGAGCCCATCCATGCCCACCTGCTGATGTCCCCTCCTGTGGTCACCCTGGGACCTCCCCGCTCACCTTCTGCCCCGCAAAGGCCACCTGCACGTAGGGGTCCACCAGGTCCTTGTTCTCCCCGATGAGGGCCTTCTTGACGTTGGCCATGATGCTGGTGTTCATGCGCGGCAGCCCCTCGGCGCGGTAGATCTTGATGTAGAACCGGGCCCACTGCCGCTCCGGGGGGACCCCGTCCGGGAGCAGCAGGTTCCTGGAATGTTAGTGGGTGGAGCTGGGAGCAGCTGCTGGGGTGGGGTGGTCAGGAACACCAAAGGTTGGGTGGGATGACCTCAAAAGTGTTTCCCAACCTTTGTGGTTCCATAAAAAACTAGAGAGAAGCTGATCCATTTTCCGAGCACTGACTCCACTTCCACAGAAATTGAATAATGGGATTTTGGAAGAGCTGCTTTTTCCTTATCAAGGGGAGCTCAGAGGATTATTCTGGGGATGAAATTAAATCCATCCATTGGGGGTTTTTGGGTATGTGGCTTTCCTCAATGTCAGTGGATGGAGCTGGGAACAGCTGGTGGGGTGGGGTGGTCAGGAACACCAAAGGTTGGGTGGGATGACCTCAAAGATCTTTCCCAACCTTTGTGGTTCCATAAAAAAACAAAGAGAAGCTGCTCCATTTTCCGAGCACTGACTCCACTTCCACGGAAATTGAATAATGGGATTTTGGAAGAGCTGCTTTTTCCTTATCAAGGGGAGCTCGGAGGATTATTCTGGGGATGATTAATTCCATCCATTGGTGTTTTTTGGGTATGTGTCTTTCCTCAATGTCAGTGGGTGGAGCTGGGAACAGCTGCTGGGGTGGGGTGGTCAGGAACACCAAAGGTTGGGTGGGATGACCTCAAAGATCTTTCCCAACCTTTGTGGTTCCATAAAAAAACAAAGAGAAGATGCTCTATTTTCCAAGCACTGACTCTTTGCACTTCCATGGAAATGGAATCAATGGGATTTTGGAATAACTTTTTCCTTATCAAGGGGAGCTCAGAGGATTATTCTGGAGATGAAATTAACTCCATCCATTGTTTTTTTTTTTTTGGGTATGTGTCTTTCCTCCTCTGCAGGAATAGATGAGCCCATGGGAATGATGTGAGTAAAATATTTCTAGGGGAATTCTAGGAATTGCTGGAGGTGTCCATGACTGCTGGAAAGTGTCCCTGCCCATGGCAGGAGGGTTGGAACAAGGCAGTCCTGAAGACCCCTTCCAAAACAAACCATTCCAGGATTTTGGGAGTAATTAGGAGAACATTACCACTACAGCCCAAAGTTCTGGAGGTGGTTCCTCAAACCCCAGCAAGTCAGGGGAGCTCTGCTGGTGGTTTCTGACTGTTAATGGCTGGACTCAATCCCAGAGGTCTTTCCCAACCTAAACCATTCCATGATTTCCTGTAGGGAGACCCTCAGAGGCAGACTTGAAATGGAGATATTAATTTATCTGGAAAAGTTTTGGGGCTGGAATCAAAAGTCTTAAAGCTCCTGATTTTTGTTCCGTGACCTCTGAGATGTTCTAGGCAGTCCAATATCCCCGTCCACACACACACAGCCTGGGGAACCTCATCCAGACTTCCCTGCTCTGCCTTGGGTTGCGAGATCCCATTATCCCATCCCATTTTCCCATCCAGGAGACATCAGGCTGGCATTGCTGTAGAGTTCAACCACCAGCAGATGGTCTGATCCTACAGGAACGACACCTCTGTGCTGGAAATCGCCTGGAATTGCACCAGGACCACACATTCCCTCCCAGAAAAGCACCGGATTGGTCCCTCTACTTTCACGGCTCAGGGCCTGCCGGCAGGTTTGGATCCTGTTGTCCCATCCAAGGGAAAGAGAGGTGGAAAGGATTCCCAAGGGAGCCAGGAAGAGGCGGATCCCAGCAGATCCCTACCCTTCGATGTCATCCTCCTCCGTCTCGTTGGCCTTGTGAGGTGTCTTGATGTTGTCCCCTTTGCCCACCACGGCGATGTCACACTTGAGGTAGCCCTTGAGGCCGGCCGTGAGGTCCTCAGGGTCGGACAGGATGGCCCATTTGTGGTAGAACTGGTGCTCTGCACGCCAGGGGACAAGAGAGACCTTTGTCACAGCCTGTGTGCGCGGGACCCCAACAAACCCCTGGAAAATCCATTGGGAAGGGGTGGCTGGTGTTGAAGATGGAGAAGCAACGGGATAAACTGGAAGGGGCTGGAGTCTCAAGTCCCCACCCTGGAGGGGCTTGAAGCCCTGTGGATGTGGCGCTTGGGGACGTGGGGCAGCGGTGGTGGCCTTGGCAGTGCTGGCGATGGTGGGACTCGATGGCCAGCAGCTCTAATCAACCTCTCCCTCTTTTCTAGGTTTGGATGGAATGCGGAGCAGGATCCAGCCCTGGATCTTCCCGTCCGGAATGTTCACGTCCTGCCTGAGAATGTCACCTGGGAATGTCACCTGGGGCTTCCTCCTGGGCAGGAGCAGGGATGGACAGCACAGCCAGGAGGGATCTCAGGGACACCTGGGAGAGCTGGAGAAGGGAAGGATCCAGGGAGACCTCAGATCCCCCTCCAGGGCCTCAAGGGGCTCCAGGAGAGCTGGAATTTGGGAAAGGGCTGCAGGGCCAGGAGCCAGGGAATGGCTTCCAGTGGAGAAGGGGAGCTTGGGGTGGAATCTTGGGAAGGAATTCCTGGCTGGGCTGGAATTCCCAGAGAATCCCTGGATCTCTGGCAGTGTCCAAGGCCAGGTTGGACACGGGGCTTGGGGCCACCTGCGACGGTGAAAGATGTCCCTGCCCATGGCAGGAGTGGAATTAAATAATTTTTAAAGTCCCATCACACCCAAAACCTCCTGTGATTCCAGGATTCCAGGATGGGATACAGACCCTTCTCCAGAGGTGCCAAGCGCTCTTCCCTGACCTAAAAGCGAGTCCAGGTGTTTACATCTTGGATATTTGCACTAAACTGGGAAAGAATTTTCCAAGGAATCCAGCCCCTGCTTGACTCCTTTGCCGGGAATTTTTCTCTGCTGAGCAGCTGCAGATGCCCGGAAATTTTTACAAACGACATTCACCTACCAGGCTGGGTATAAACAGTGCCAACGTCCATCTTGAAGGACCCCACCAATGTCCCGCTCCTCAGGAGATTTTTGGAGTGGATCACCTGGAAATCAAGAGAGGAAAACCACTCAGGAATTCTCCCAGGACCTGGGAGCCACCAAGCCATTCCAGAGGTCTCCAGGATGGGATGGGAAAGGAGCTGAGGAGTTTTCCTTGGTCTGGGGAGGATCCTAAGGACACCAAAAGGCCTGGTGGGGTTGGCAGCTCCTGGTTAGTGGAATTGTCAGGAAGTTTGTATTTGGAATGAACAAAAAATGCAAAGAAATTAATATTTGGAGCAAGGTCACTTTACCAATCACTACAGCAGCAAAAGCTGGGATAGTTAACTGAGGGAAGAGCCTTTGGAATGCTCAGAATTTGAGGAAAATTGGGAGAAATTGTACAGCCAGTCTGTGCAGCGTGGTGGGTATGGATGATCCTAATTAACGTGCCCTAATTGGGCAGGGAATCTGGAAGTCTTCCTGGTTTTGGGTGGAGAGCTTTGCTCTCAGCATTCCCAATCTTGGATTTCCACAACAGCTCTGATGCCCCAGGAATTTCCCTGGCAGGCTCAGGAAGGACTTTCTTCTCCACAAGAACAAATAAATTCCAAGGTTTGGTTCCACCTGGCTCTGGAAAACCAGAGATCGCCCCTGAAGGGACACAGGGAATGCAGGAGCTGTGTGGAGCCAGGAATGAGGGCTGGAACAGAAAAACCGACTGGGGGTCTGCAGAAGAGGATTCCTGTTGGGAATCTCACATCGAGAACCTTAAATCCATCCCCAAAAATGGCTCGTTTACTTCCAAAGCCCCCAAAAAAGGACAAGGACATCGGGGTCACTTACGGAGAGCTTGATGATCTTGTCGAACATGACATCGGGGGGAACGTGGAAATCGAAGACAAAATACTGGAAGGGAAGTAGGAATCGTGAGGGGTGGGATCCATCAGGATTGAGAACCCCCCGGAGAAGCTGTGGCCTAGCAGGGATGGATCCATGTGATCCCATGTGATCGTGGGACCACATGGATCACTGACAGGAGATGTGGGGAGCAAATGGAAGTGCAGATTTCTCAGAAAACCTGGGAATCCTTGATCACAAAATTCCAGAGGATAAAGGTTTCATTTCTCCTCTGTGGTTTGAGATTTCACCTTATTCCGGCAGGAATTTAACCCAAAAAGCATGGATAAAAAAGAAATCACGGGATCAAGGGTGGAGTAACCCAGAGGTGTTGAGAACCCTCTGGAGAAGCTGTGGCTGCC